GTTCTGATTTATCTTTTTTTTTTTCCCAATTTCCCAAACTAGCCTGCAGCGCTGGTGTTCCTGATGGCCTTCTATCCACACATTAACCAGGTCATGTGCTCCAGGGACCGCAAGTCCTAGAATCTGGAACAAAAATGACAAGTAGAATTCTGGGAGTTGTAGTCCAAGCAAATAAGGCTGCCAGAGGAGTGAGAGGAAGGCTGCCCTGCACCATTGGCCAGATGTTGCAGAATGATTTAAAAAAAAAAAAAATCCTGAATTCATCAGGTCTGGCAATTCTGGGTCGATAGCTTCTCTCCCATTCCCAGACACCTCATTTTTATATTTACGTGTTGTTTCCCTTCCTGGAAATGGTTTCTGGTTCTTAGAAACATAAGTGAATCACGCGTGGTGTATTTGCTTCCACTCCCTGGGGAACCTATAGAGAACTTCCCCTTGTCGGAGCCAGTGAGCTGCCAGGTTTGGGGTGGTTCAGGGGGTGTGAAAACAGCTGTTGTTTTGAGCACACAGCCTGAAATGTTTTGGAATTCCTTTGCTTCCTGCCCGGCCTGCACAGTCTTTCTTGATGCATTTTAAATCTTGTCCAAAGTTCAGGCGGGGCGGTGCTTTGGCAAGCTGGAAACTGTAAAATGTGGGTCGCAGGCTGCTTCCGATCAGGCTGACTAGACAAGTGTTTTTGCATTAGATATTGCTAGGCTGTTCATGGTGCAGCCACGCTCGTCACCCTGGTGCTTCTGGCTGCCAGAAAGAGACAGTCGAGGCTCTCTTAGGAATTAGCTGTCCGCTGAGATGTAGGGGAGTCTTACCTTGGCTGTTCTTCCGCCCTTCCTTCCCCATCGCCCACTTCTGGAAAAATGGAGTTAATACGAGATGCTCTTTGCCAGCAACAGCAGGTGCTGGATCTGAAGGACTTCTGTGCCTACAGAGTCCAAGACTCTGTAGAAGTGAGAGCTTGGAGGGCAGTGGGAGAGACATCAGTGTTCTCCAACCTGTCATGGCTGAGGAATCTCGGAGTTGTGGTCTCAGAGGGCACTTCCTGTTGAGGAAATGGCTTTCTTTTTCTTTAATCTTTCCCAGGTCTGGAGCAGCATAAACCCTAAAAATTAGGAAACAAAGTTTAGGGGAAAAAATTAGAGCTTATCATAAAATGGGGGGGGGGAGACTATCTGACCCTAAAGGAAAGGAGGGGCTTGTCTTGCAGCAAGTCCTGATTCATGAAGTTGGGCCTAATGCACAGCTGCTAGAGCAGACTTCTCCAGCCTGGAGACCTCCTGATATGCTGAACTAGAATTTCCAGCTGATTCTAGAATTTGTCCTCTTTCAGCTTGGTCAGTTCTGACCCCTGAGAGTTGCATTTGATTGTGGCGAGATCTGCAAGTATAAAATCAAAATTCAAGCCATTCTGGAAGTTACATTGTAGGAGGAAAGCCATGTTACTCTGTGGTAGTGACCAAGATGAAAGCTGGTGCCTTTTAATGTGTCAGAAAAGGTGCTGCCAGACTCCTCATTGTGATGGTCATTGTGTACCAGGAGACTAAACAGTATTTCTTTGTACATAAAATTAGAAGAGAAGGCAAGAGAATCTTCTCACCAACTCTGAAGTCCATAAGCAGCAGCGTTCCTTGCTGTTCATCTTCCATCTGCTCTTCTGAGGTAGACTGCATCTGGATATAGCTTCCCTTCAGCTTTCATGGTTAATGGCTGCTAATATACCAAAGTGGTCCCCCAGGCTTCTATTCTCTTTCAGCTCGTGCCAACCAGATGCTTCCAGAATTAGTGATTTTTTTAAAAAAATCAATAGAAGATGCAGGGCTCATTAGATTAGGCTTTTTGCAGGAAAAGGGGAAGGTTAACCCTTTCCACTGCCCCAAAGCTGCTTTCTCATATAATTTTCCTCTCCAAAATATAAAATCTCTTTTCTTAACTGCCCAGCCTTGTTTCAACCTGCAACTATAAATGTGGCTACTGAATTTAAGAGCTGATCGTTGCCCCATTATCTGACATCAGGATAGACCCTGAGACATGTTGGTGATTTGTGCCCCTCTGATTGGCAATGTTTTTGTGGCTGGTGAGGCTGTACTTTTGACTTGTCTATTTATTCCAGTGTTTCTCAACCTTGGCAGCTTTTAAAAGGTTGGGCTTTAAACCCCCCAAATTCTCCCCCCACCCAACCTGGGGTGCGGGTGTTTTTTGTGTTTTTCTTCCA